TGGAAGCCAGAGACAGTAACTGCAGTCATAGGTTATGTCAGCCTTTTGTGGAGGCTTTACAAGCTCACAACTGTGGCATATCTGCCTTCGGAATCTTCCTTGTTGTATTTGGAAAGTAGTAGAGACTTCTCTTGCATTCTTGCTGACTCAAGTGAGTGACTTGTAACTTGTAAGGTCAAGAACATGAACTGAGAACAATGAAGAATTGATAGCTGGCGCCATTTTATTTCACTGTGACCACACCCGTTTTCAAAGAAGATTAAGATTAGGTTATTAAAATAGGAAAATTTTTCATACGGATAAATAGGGGTGACGTACGTGTACAAACAAACAAACAAACATACTCTACTCGAACTAGTGGGCTTCGCCCAATTAAAGGGAGTGGTCAACCACGCCTAGAATACACGTGTGCGCATGCCCTCTTGTCTAAACAAGTCGTGTTCTCAAGCTGATGTCTCTCTATCGCTATTTTAAGCCTAGTAGCCATAGGCGGTTGCAGGCCTGGGCATTAGGGGGCAATGCCCAGGTTGACTTTTTGACCAATAATTATATTCATGATTCTGGTGTGGGCATCCAGTGTAAACTGTGGTAGTTCAACAGGCTTCTTTGTTGTTTTATGCTAAGAAATCATCTCAATGAAGTTATAGATCAGTATTGTCCATTTTCCTTGCAAAATTGTATGGAACCACACCCACTCCACACCCACTAATTATTGATGCCCAGGTCAAACCAAATTTCTGCAACCGCCCATGCTAGTAGCAAGGTCAAAGATGATTCCCTAACTGTTTTGCCTTCTCCCGAAGGACCTTTGTCAAAAGTAGTTCCACCGTCGACGATTGTGGCAGCAAATGAAAAAGTGGCTGAAGCTATGGCAGGTGATACTCGAGGTGATAGAAGTGGAAGCAGCCGAGGTACCTACGAAAAGTACACTCCTACTGAAAAGGCAAAGATTGCTAACTATGCTATTCTACATGGCACAGCTGCTGCATTGAGACATTTTAGTAAAGAATATCCAAGACTGAAGTGGAGCACAGTTAATGATTGGAAAGTGGCTGCTATTAAAATGGTAAAGGATGGTGGCCCGGAGTTGACGACATCAAGGTGAGAGAAATCAACGGCAAGAAAAGAGGGAGGCCTAGTTATCTAAATGATCAGTTAAAAGAAGAACTAAAGGCATATATAACTGCTCTCCGAGCTGGTGGAGGAGTCGTTAATTCATCTATAGTAATATCAGCTGCTACTGGAATATTGTTGGAGAGAAATCCGTTGTCACTGGAGTGTAATGGTGGTCATTTATCTTTGAAGAAGGGATGGGCAAAATGTTTTTTGAAACAAATGAATTTTGTTAAACGTAAGGCCACTACCAAAGCAAAAGTATCTGTTGAGAATTTTGATGAGTTAAAACGTCAATACTTGATAGATATCAAGGCAGCAGTTACTATAGATGACATACCACATGACTTAGTACTCAACTGGGACCAAACAGGACTCAACTACGTACCTGTGTCGCAATGGACAATGGA